AGATTTATATATTGACTATATATTTTTAAATATTGATATTATATTAAGTTATGAATATTTATTATGTCTTATAAATTAAATTTTTATTATATAATATAATTCCTTAAGTTCCATTTATATATAATATAATATGAGTATAAAGATCTATAAAAAATAATAAAGTTTGTTATATAAAACTTAGTGTAACAGAATATATATTAAAATAATATTATATATATATTACATTATCATTTTAAAAGCTAAAATTATATCAATATTTAAACAGCTAAAAAAAATATTTTACAAATTATAGGTGCTGAACTAGGAGGGAAAAGGGAGTGTTTCGAAGAAACATTTGTAGTTCCCCTTTAGGATTTCGAATTGGATTTTTTGTTTAAGAAATAGGGACTCGTTTTTGACCCCTGTCCTTAATGCAATTCTTCTACCCAACAGATTTAAGAACTTTAGGGATTGGGGACCGGGGTTTCCCAGAACGCTAAAAATTAGGGGAATAAATATAAAAGAATTAGGGAGGAATCTATATTTATTAAACTTATTGATTTCTTGGAGTTCCAAGGGGTCGGTATTTCCGTTAGCCGGGTAGGAGGTAACACACGAGACGTCCCAGACAAGTCCTTTGCCGCCGTGCCAAGACGTCAAAGACATGCCGTCGGGACGCTTACCTTCCGCATTTAGTAGACCTAATGGCTCCAAACTATTAGGGAAACCGGCCAAAATCAAGGCTTTGCAGATTAAGTTATTAAGGTTGTTGTGCCTCAGAAAACGGCCACTGACTTTGAGACAAGAAAAACAATGTCTAAAGATAGCCAATGGCAGTTTGAAACTCATCGTCTGTTAGTAACGTTTCCTTTTTACCACTCGGAATTGCATCTAGCCATTCATGGCCGTTAGAATTTATTTTTGCGTTTCTGAGCAGTTCAGGTTAGTGTTGTTAAAATCTAGTCAAGTTTTGAGTCGCAAAACTCATTTCAATTTGAGCGGCTCAATGAGCCGCATGAGTCGGCTCGATGAGTCGGCTTTAAGTAAACAACTTTAATGAGTATAATATATAGAGGGACTCTGAAGCCGACTCATCGAGTCGACTCATGCGGCTCATTGAGCCGCTCAATTTGAAATGAGTTTTGCGACTCCAACTTGAGTTCAAAGTCGTAAAAACTCGATTATTTAACAACACTAGCCGACTTTGAAACCGACTCATGCGGCTCATTGAGCCGCTCAATTTGAAATGAGTTTTGCGACTCCGACTTGAATTCAGAGTCGTAAAAACTCGACTATTTAACAACACTAGTTCAGGTTAGTTAGATCGGGACACAGTCAAAGATTTTCAAATGCGCATTGAAGCATAGGGAGCATGAAGCTCTTTAGATGACTGGAAACTGGCTGCTCGGATCCTTGAATAGCTAGGGTAAGCCACTATTGTTTAGCTGAAGATAAAAGGAGATCGTCCAACTCCATAAGCGATGAAATAGAATCGTTAAAGGATATTCGAGATGAAAGAGATCACGCAATTGCCATTAGGAAGGGAGTGAAAATCCAAAACCACCCCGGTAAGCGGGCATAGAGGCGAAGGTCCAATTAGAATCGAAAAAATTTAAGACTAAAAGGGATTCGATAAAATGTTTAAATTTTAATTCGAAGGCCTTAAGGAGGGTGTTATACTGGAAAACCGGGGAAGATTTAAATATGTGTAAGAATTTATGTAGTAAAAGACATTTTTTAGTGAGGAAAAAGAACTGATGCTTGGGAAGATGAGGAAGATTCTTTAGTGAATTGAAAAGGAACTGAATCAAATCGTCAAAAAAATTTTGACAAAAGGAAGTTGAAAACCGATAGGGGAACCTAATAGAGTTCCTCGTGGGGAATGATTATAAAATCTGGGGGAGGGATAAAATCCTTGTTGTTAAGGGAAGATATTTCACACTTCTTTCTATTTAGGGAAAGACCAATTTTAGAAGCTACCATTTCAACGTATTCTATGGCCGATAAAACATTAGATAAATAGCCGCCAAAAGAGCCATCGTTGAGATACCATAAATTTAAGTCTAATTTGAAAAGATTTATATTATGACTGTTTTTAACTATTGATGTTATACTTAAATGATTTTTGTTATGACTATCAAGCTCTTATTTTGTGCACATTATTTCTATTTTTTATTTATTATATAATAGATATTTTTTGAAGACTAACATTCTTTGAATATCATTGACAAAGTTAAAGTGTCTTAATAAATCATTATAGTTTTTATTCATTTAATTAAATTGCCTAAAATTTGAAAAATGTAAGTAAATTTACAATTTAAAAATATATTGGTTAATAAACTTTTCTTTTTTTTTCTTTTTAGCTTTCACCTTTTCGCGGTAAGCTCCTTCAATATCTCTCTCCACTTTATGTTATTCATGCTATCTCATTTATCTAATTTATACTTCTTCGCTCTAACTTTATGGCCCCATTGAAGTTTTGGCCTTCCACTTTTACGTTTGCCCATCATTTCTGTTATATAATAGGAATATTAATAAATTAAAATATTATTTTTGGTTATTAAATAGTAATATGTTTAAATTTTATATCACGCACACATTAAATTATTTTTATTATAATATTCTTTTTTTTTCTTCTTTTTTTTACGCGCCACTATTCACATCCGGTGCAAAAATTTTGAAATAGTACTGTATTGTATGGGTTGAATCATTAATAAAATAAAAAATTATATCATACTGATCAGGTAAATTTTTTTATTTAATTATATCTTTATTTTACAGATTATACGAACATTAAATCTCAATATTGATAGTAATCTTTATGACTTACACAGAATTTAAACTTAAAATCAGCCACCACCCACCCTAAAGTAATTAAATTATACTGTAGTTCTCGGGTATAGGCTCTTTTTCTGCCCCACTCCTTTTTTAATAAGACTATAGAGGTTTAAGTAAAATTTTTCGAAATGATGCGCCAACAAGTACGTGCGGCTTGCAAACAAACGTGTGGAGGGCTCCTCATATTTTTACTTTTATACCCAAATTAAATTAGTTCCAATCAGATGAAAATGAGGAAAACCTAGCGTAGCTCTGTTGAAACTTCAACGCTAGAGGGAAAAAGCGCTATATATCACGTATCACGTATTTTGTAAGAAACATTTTACAGCTATTCAAATATGACTAATCTTTACTTTTCATTTTACATTTTATTTGACCTTTATTTATATATTATTTAGTATATATATATTGTAAATACAAAACAGTGATGAATACTTTTTAAAATTAAATTATCTTATCTTTTCATGGTGCTTTTAAACTTCCAAACTCTCAACTTGGAAAAATAATTTGTGACAAGAAATTTCCGATAACAACCTAATTTACTAAACATCGACCAAAGTTTCCGTCAATATATATTAAATTAAAAAGTTGGGGGTAGGGGGGTCTTATTATTACATTTATAACCCAGAAATCACTTGATCATTATGGATGTCGTCTACTTACGTCAACGCATAGGAATTCAGATTATAAAATCTAATTTCACATACTTCATAGGTTCATTCCCCGAGGAGCCCGATTAATCTAGATTTTCTTCTTCTTCCCTAAATCATTTAAAATTACCCTCCCCCCCCCCTTCTTCCTCGTATTATCATTTGGACTATTGTAATATGAAGTCGTTGGTTGTTAAATTTCTTAAAATTTCTAGAATTGTTAAATTATATATTTTTCTTAAATTCCGTTATGTAAAAATTACTTATTGTTAAGGGAGCAGGCTATTAAGCCTAGCATTAGAGAAAGGTAATGGCGTAATATATGAATAATAAGGAATGGAATAAATAAATATTAAAAAAAAAAAGTTGATTGACTTGTGATAAATAAAATAATAAATAAAAGGGATGATTTTGTAAAAAGAAAATATATAAGCGCGAAAAGAAAAACAAACGATTTATTATATTTTTTTTTATGTACGATATATATTTTATTGATTTTTATTGAAGTAAAAATAAAGAAATATTGAAGGAAAAATAAAGAAATATTGAAAAGTAAAAAATATAAATAATGTTGTTTGATATTTTAAAAATAAAGAAATATAGAAGAAAAAATATAAATAGGGTTAATTGATAAATTAACAGTGGTGACTCCGACCCATTACGGGAAAAAGTTTATTTTAAAATAAGGAAACATAGTAAAAGGTTTAAAAAAGAAGGAAACCTGAAATTATAAAAATAAGGAAACATAGTAAAAGGTTTAAAAAAGAAGTAAACCTGAAATTATAAGAATAAGGAAACATAGTAAAAGGTTTAAAAAAGAAGGAAACCTGAAATTATAAGAATAAGGAAACATAGTAAAAGTTTTAAAAAAGAAGGAAAACCGGAAATTATAAGAATAAGGAAACATAGTTTAAAAAAGAAGGAAAACCTGAATTTATAATAATAAGAAAACATAGTAAAAGGTTTTTTTTTAAAAAAAGGAAGGAAAACCGGATTAATAAATTTTTGTACGGCATTCAAGATATATGTATAGTTGCATCTTTAGTTTGTTTACAATTCTCATAGTATTTTATTTATTAACGTTGCAAATTGTTAAACTCTTTATATTAAAAGTATTAGTTAACTTTTTGTAGAGAGAAAATGAAAACTTTTAAATTTATGAAATGTTGGGAATTACAATATAATATTGTGGGAGCACTAGTCATATTAGTGATTTGGATGTGTAGTTTGATTTGGGGTAGAAGAGTCAAAAAGAGTCGTAGCGTGAGAATAAAGGGCCATAATGGAGAGGAGGATGTTATGGGAAAGGTAACATGGTTGCCGGTTCAAGAATTAATTAATGGATGGACAGAGAGTGAAGTGGATAAATGAATAAGGAAGCCTGATGGGAGGGAAGTATATAGTGATAAAAGGTTGGGACCTTTTAGGGGACCTAGAGATGATTCTCAGGGACGTAGAGGGGAAATAAAACCCAGTTTTGATTCGAGAGTGAGAGGAAGAATGAATTGTTATAATTGTGGAAGACAAGGACATATGGTCAGAGATTGTAGGGAGGCAAAGTGTTTCGAATGTGGTAGATTTGGTCATATAGCCCCTTATTGTCCAGGAAAACCAGAGAAATTAAGATGCGCGGGTTGCGGAAGATTTGGTCACAATAAGGAAGAATGTAATACGGGAAATTATAATACTCGGGGAGGTTTTCCCCAGAGAGTAATGGGACCAAATACTCCAACTGTGCGAACCATTGAGGATGCCAGAGTTGAGGGAAGAGGAGTATTTCCGGAGGGAGTTGAAGATCAAACCGTGGAATGTTTCCGATGTCGAGAAAGGGGACATGTGGCAAGGGATTGTGCTAATTTGTGACTATATGATGGTAAAAAAAATGATACATAGGGCCAAGAGAGTGGGTTATTGGAAGGAAACATAATGTATTCACGAAGAGAAAGAAGTATAATTGGGAATGTAAGGATGATACAAGATGATTTAATAAATGATCCTTGTCCTAGGGTAATAATAGACTTCAATGGGAATAGGGTACCTATGCTATTTGACACGGGAGCAGCTATTTCAGTAATGAGTTATGCGAGATATAGGAGTATTTGGCCCGATGGAATGATAGCAAATGAAGGCTTGAGAATACGACAATTCGATTGGTCCCAAATAGTAGTAATGGGAAGAGTGGAAATAGAGGCAATGACGGAAGGAGGGATAGAGGTTTTAGACTTATGGATTATTAATAGGAGAGTAGAAGCGGTATTGGGGTGGGATTGGATCACCCGGATTAATCCATGGTATAGTTTTTGGGGGGTATTTGCATAGGGAAGTATTCGTTCAGATGGTGAGTGATGATACAGATGGGAGGAGGACATATGAGGACGTGGAAGTATTGCCCGGAATTGAGAACATGTTCAATTGGGAGCGGGAGGGAGCTGAGGAAATGAGGGGAGAAATTAGGAGTGGAGGTCTGGGAGTAAGGATTAGGAATGAGGGAATCAGGAGAGATAATCATAGTGGAGAGGTAAGCAGAGAGTGGGGAAGGGAAATGGAAAGGAATAATTTTATAGGAGGGATTGGAGCGAATAAGTTTAAGGGGGAAATAAGAGCGCATAATCCTAAGGGGAAAATAGGGAATAATTACAAGGGGGAAATAGTGGCGTATAATTCCAAGGGGAATAATTCTAAGGGAGAAATAGAGGCGTATTATTCCAAGGGGGAAGTAGTGGCGAGTAATAGTGAAGAGGAGATGGGGGCAGAAATTGGTACCAAGGAAGGGGGAAAAAATAATTGTAAGGGGTGGGGGGGGGGAAGGAATTACGAGGGAGAATTAGCAGTGGGGAGTTATGGGTATGCGAGTAAGGAAAAGGACAGATACTGGGAGGGGAAGATCCAGGAGACAATCTATAATGAAGCGAAGAGCGGGAAAGGGAAGTTGCAGGATAATAATGAAAATATAATTTAAAAAAAATGACAAAGGAGCATCCGAGCCAAAAAACGGCATGTGGGAACCGGGAAGGAGAGTTGGAAGTAGGGGTGGGACCAATACCAATATAATATTGGTTTACAATACCAATACCAATATAAACCAATATATATTTAAATATTGGTATTGCTTTTACAACCAATACCAATACCAATTACCTAAATATATTGGTTTTGATATATTGTTTAAATACAATTTTAACCAATACCAATATTAAAAATAACATAATTATTTGGGTTTATCGTGGATAATTATATCGTGGTATTTTTTTTACTTTCATTGCAAAAACTGATTACATCTGTTATTTCTTCCAATACTACTGTGATATCAATATTTCTGTTATTTATAATTATAGTTTATTTTCATTATGGAAGTAAGTTTTCTATATGATATCTATCAATTTTATCTATTAATTCATTTAGGATATTATAATGAATGAAAACCAAATCGAGTTAATAAATATAGATAATGATGTTGATACTAATAATAATAGCGATAATGAACAAGAAGAATCAACGATATCTAATAAAAGACGAAATACAGCAAAAATCTGGGAATTTTATACTAGTTGTGATAACAAAAAAAGGCTAATTTGTAATAAATGTAAAAAAGAATTATCTACTTCCCAATTTTGGAACCTCAGGATTATGGACACATCTTAAATCCATCCACCCAACTTTATATAAGAAATGTGAACAAATAAATAATGGCAGTAAAAAAATTAACACCATAAAATCATTTTTAATTAATAATGTAAATAATAAAGCTAATTTAAATAATTTAATTATGGACTTTTTTATTCAAAATAATTTAGCCTTTTCATTGGTTGAAAATGAGTCATTTAAAAATTTAATAATGCAACCCCTCATTAACATTAATTTCTAGAAAAACACTTAAAAATAGAAATTATGAAACATTATCATAGTTCTTTTATCAATTTAAAATCTATACTTTCTAAAATTACTTCTAAATTTTCTTTAACAATGGACATTTGGTCCTCTCCAAATAAAATACCCTTTATGGGCATAACCATTCATTATATTGATAATGATTTTAAATTAATTAATCATTTATTAGATTTTATTCCTTTTAAATCAGCACATAATGCTATTAATATTTATAATATTTTTAATTCTGTATTAAAAGTAAAATTTGAAATTGATTTTTTTGTATTACATTAGATAATGCTAGTAATAATTTAGCATTTCTAAAAATTTTAAAACAAAAAGATAATTTTGATAATGTGTGCAAATGCTTTTGCCATATTATACATTTGGCTGTCATGGCTGCATTGGAACCCTTAAATACAACTTTAAAAAAAATAAGAAATTTTTAAAAAATTTTGAGACTTTCTATATCTAAATTTAATAAACTCGAAAAAATATATCTTGAAAAAAATCCACACTTATAATTTCCTCACCCAATCTTGGATATACCAACACGTTGGAATTCAACATACCAAATGCTTGTAAGAGCAATATTGCTCAAACCCTATTTGACAACATATACCAATCATTTATAAAATACCAATCAAGAAAATTATATTAGTGCCTTAGCCTGGAATAATATAGAAATATACCGAGAATTTTTGGAACCATTTAATTTTGGTACAGAGATGGCCTCATGTGCTAATACTCCAACAATTTCAACAATTATTCTTTTATATTCCAGTATTTTTGAGCATGTGGAGAGTTATAATAATAATCCTAATGCTATTTTAAAGACAGCTTCTTTTGCTGCCTTAACAAAACTTAATAAATACTATAATTATAATACACACCTCTTTATTATTTCAACAATGATTGACCCAAAATTTAAACTATCAAGTCATTTATTAAAGCATAATAATATGCAAACTCTTATTGGATATCTTACTAATGAATACAATCTTTTTAAATAAATAATAACAATTCAGCGGAACTTACAAATGAAGCACAAAATAACAAAAAATTATCCTTTTATGACAAAATTTATCAGGTGAAACCTCATAATAATAACAACTTAGAAATAAGTAAATACGTAGATGAAGCCACAATTTCCAATGATACAAATCCATTAGATTGGTGGAAATTAAATAAAAATAGATATCCAGTATTATCAAAAATTGCTAGAGATTATCTAGCAATTCCGGCCACCTCATCTAGCTCTGAAAGGGCTTTTTCAGAAGATCGGTATGTTATAACAGACCAACGTTGTTCATTAGATGAGCGTACTATACAAGCTTGCCTGTGCCTAAAAAGTTGGATGCGCATTAGTGTTGTTAATCGGCTTATCCGAGTCGGCTCGAACAGAGCTCAACCAAATTTTGGGTCGTTTTTTTCGACTCCAACTCAAAGTATTGGTCGTTTTTTACGACTCCGACTCAAAATTTGGGTTGTATTTTTAGACTCAAACTTAAAATTTGGGTCGTATTTTTCGACTCAAACTTGAAGTTTGGGTCGTATTTTTCGACTCAAACTTGAAGTTTGGGTCGTATTTTTCGACTCAAACTTGAAGTTTAGATCGTATTTTTCGACTCCAACTCAAAGTTTGGGTCGTTTTTCTGACTCAGACTCAAACATCGGGTCGTTTCATTCAATCAGACCCAAAATATGGATCTATTTTTTAAAGACGACTTAAAGTTAGGGTTGCTTTTTTTCACCCCCTAACCCAATATCTAGATCATTTTTTTCGACCAAAAGTCAAATAACATTTAGTATATATTAATATTATAGGCGGGAAAGTTACTTAAAGCTTCTTTAAATTATAATGCTCTGATTAACTATTCATCATAGTTATATTTTAAAATTTTTAAGTGAAGATGTACCATAGAAAAGTGCCATTTGTCATGATGGTTATTTTTGAACTTTTTTAAATGAAATAGATAAAAATATATATTGTAGACATGTTAAATCAAAATTTCAGTGATGATGTACCATAGATAAGTGGTAATTGTCATAATCGCTATTTTTGAACTTTTTTGAGTTTTTTTAAAGCAAATTGCTAAAAATATATATTCTAAACATGTTAAATTAAAAATTCATTGGGGATGTATCATAGATAGGTGACAATTGTCATAATCGGTATTTTTGAACTTTTTCAAATTTTTTTAAAGGAAATAGCTAAAAATATATATTCTAAACATGTTAAATTAAAAATTCAGTGAGGATGTATCATAGATAGATGACAATTGTCATAATCGCTATTTTTGAACTTTTTCAAATTTTTTTAAAGGAAATAGCTAAAAATATATATTCTAAACATGTTAAATTAAAAATTCAGTGAGGATGTATCATAGATAGGTTACAATTGTCATAATCGCTATTTTTTAACTTTTTTGAGTTTTTTTAAAGCAAATTGCTAAAAATATATATTCTAAACATGTTAAATTAAAAATTCATGAAGATGTACCATAAAAAAGTGACAATTGTCATAATCGTTATCTTATAACTTTTTTAAGTTTTTTTTGACATAATTGGGCTAAAATAAGTATTACTAACATGTTAAAATAAAACTTCAGTGAAGATGTATCATAGATAGGTGACAATTGTCATAATCGTTATTTTTGAACTATTTTCAATTTTTTTAAAGCAAATAGCTAAAAATATATATTCTAATGCATGTTAAATTAAAAATTCAGTGAGGATGTATCATATATAGGTGACAATTGTCATAATCGCTATTTTTGAACTTTTTCAAATTTTTTCAAAGGAAATATCTAAAAATATATATTCTAAACATGTTAAATTTAAAATTCAGTGAGGATGTATCATAGATAGGTGACAATTGTCATAATCGCTATTTTTGAACTTTTTCAATTTTTTTTAAAGGAAATATCTAAAAATATATATTCTAAACATGTTAAATTAAAAATTCAGTGATCTATGGTACATCATCACTGAAA